AACATATTCTCATCAGTAAATCAAAATTTTCTGGTGACCATCAACCAAAATACCCAAACATTTTAATGTTACCTTCAGATAAGATTGAATGAAGTAACTCGTTATGGATGCTGGATACTAGTGTGAATTCAGTTTATTCCCCAGTTCTTCCACAAATTGAAATTTTAGTATTGCCCTGGCTAATTTAGAATTATCGGGGAGTTAATATAAGAAAATTGCCCAAATGAAGCACCATAGATAAGTCTTCTAATGTTAAACTGATTAATGTTTTTCAGTAATACCAGTAGCTAAATGTAGAATTTTTGTAGAGTCAAGGATTAATTAGAAAAACAGTGTTGTAAAAATACAAAAAAATGAGCCCTTTCCTAGGGACAGGAAAGAGAAGGTAGGGGAGAGGAGCAAAGAGGGAGGTGGAAGTTGGGAGGGAAAGGAAGGGAAGGTATATTGTCTATTGCTGCATGACAAATTACCCCAAAATTTAGCAGTTTAAAACAACAAATATTTGCCACACACAGTGTCTAAGTGTCAGGAATCAAGAAGTGGTACATTTGGGTGGTCCTGGCCTGGGGTCTCTCATGAAGTCATCTGAAGGCTTGATTGGGGCTGGAGCATCCACTTCCTAAATGTCACTCTCCAGTGGCTGTTGGGTGAAGTCCTTGGCTCTTTGCCACAATGGCTTCATCATAGGGCTGCCTGAGGGTCCTCATGACATCACGGCTGGCCTCCCTCAAACAAGCAAAGCACAAGAGAGAGAGCTTGGAGGAAGCCCCAGCGCCTTTTTATGACCTAGTCTAAAGCCACTCACTGTCACTTCCACCATATTCTGTAGGTCAGAAATGAGTCACTAAATCCAATCCTGACTCATGAGAAGAAAGATTAGGCTTCAGCGTTTGAAGGGGATGTCAAATAACTGTGGACATATCTTAAACCACCACAGAAGACAGGGAGGAGGAAATGAAGAGATATTTGAGCAAAACACCCATTTTCCGTTTGTTTAGAGAGTAAACCGAGACGTGCCCAGTTTCCTCCACTACCCCTTCTCCCTTTAGCCAGGACTCACTGGTGTGTGTGTGTGTGTGTGTGTGTGTGTGTGTGTGTGTGTGTGTAGCAGGCAGATGTGGAGTTCCCACCTGTTTCCCACTTTTGACTCCTACCAGACATACCAACTTTTATCTTTTTTTTTTTTTTTTTTTTTTTTTTTTTCCTTGTCCAGCACCGCCTCC